AAGAAGAAAGAGTACATGAAGTTATCAGAAAAAGTAATGGGGAGATATGCGAGGAGTTGGAGGGGAGGGAGTGGGCATGGATTTGATCATATCCCTGTATGAAATTCTCAATAAATTATTTTTAAAAAGATAAATGAAAATTCATATAAATTGATCAGCAAAGTATATTTGCCTAGTAAGCATCTGAACTAGAAAAGAGCAACTAAAAAGAATTCTCTTTAAGTTGGACCAAGCCATTTCAGTCAGTAGCTGAAAATGAAAAGTTTGGAAATTTGTATTGGACAACAACAACTAAGTTTATTTTAAATTTAGTAAGTTAAGGATTATAATTGCAACTGTATACTAGTCTTTGGGACAAGATCAGGGCCTGTGAATGCTAAGCAAGTGCTCAATCACTGAGCTATATACCTAGTCCCTGTTATTATTATTGTTGTTACAGTTTTTCTTACAAAGTTGTAAGCTTTCACTTCAGTTTGGCTTTTATAGCATGGTACACAGTATTCATTTTTGCAAAATTCTATAAGAACTATGAAGCTGGAAGTGATCGTGCATGCCTTTACTCAAAACACACAGAGGCTGAGGCAGGAGTATTGCAAGTTCAAGGTTAGCCAGGGCTCCATATTGAGCTTGCAGCCAGCCTGGACTGCACAATGAGACTTTATCTAAAAACAATGTGTGGGTGTGTGTGTGCTCGTGCACACATGCATGCACGCATGTGTATTTTATAGAAATATCTCACATGGTGGCTACAAGTCGTCCTTAACTGCAGTTCCAGGGGAATCTAAAGCCCTCTTCTGACCTCCGAGGCATTGCATGACTTGGGTGCACTCACATACATGCAGGCAATACACTCATATACAAAATAAAAATAATAAATAAAATTCAAAAAAAAAAGAAATATCACACACACACACACACACACACACACACACACACACACACACGCACACACGGCTTCATGAATTTTCAACTGTGCCCATTTGAAACTGTGTTACCCAGGCTGGCCTGGAATTCACTATACAACCTATACAGTCAGGCTTACCACAGACTCCTGCCTCAGCCCCTGAGTGCTAGTATGACAGGCGTATGCCAGCATGCTCCTCTGTCCCTAAAACTCCGGATGTTGAAATAACTTTTTTTGGGGACCAGCAAGATGGCTCAGGGGATAAAGGCACTTGCTACAAAGCCTGATGACTCAAATTTGATCTAATCCCTGGGACCTACAAAATGAAGGGAGATAACTGACTCTCACAAGTTGTCCTCAGACCTTCATACATGGGCTATGGCATGTGTGCAAGCATGCATGCACACACACAAACAAAAACACAATAAACATTTAAAAAGAAAGAAAAAGCCCGGGCATGGTGGCACATGCCTGTAATCCCAGCACTTGGGAGGCAGAGGCAGGCGGATCTCTGTGAGTTCAAGGCCAGCCTGGTCTACATAGTGAGTTCCAGGACAGCCAGGGCTACAGGGAGACCCTGTCTCAAAAAGACCAAAAAAAAAAAATACTTTTGTTTCAATTGCCTAAACAAAGACTTTGTAAGAGAATGATGAAGACTGCCACAGGGAGAGGCAGCACTTAATCAGGGAAGGATGTAGATAGAGGCTAACTGTGGTTCTTCAAAGAACATTTGTTTCTTTTTTTTTTAATTGTGTTTATTTACTTATTTTAGTTTGTGTGTATGAGTGTTTTGATGTAAGTGCACAACATGCATACAGTGCCCATAGAGCCAGAAGAGGGCTTTGCATCCCCTGGAACTTGAGTTACAGATTGCCACCTTGTGGTGCTGAAACTGAACTTGAGTCCTCGGCAAGAGCAGCCAGTGCTCTTACCGCTGAGCCATCTCTCCAGCCCCCATTTTTGTTTCTTGATAAGGCTGCTATCCAGCCATGGGCATTCAGGTAACTAAGATTTGAGTACCCTTTTCTCCTCTTACCTCACCAACTATGTGCTTCCCATTGATGAATGCCTCGAAGCCACACACAGCTGCCTTATCATCCAAAGGAAAGATGTATTTTGCCTCAATAGGCACATGACTTTCATTTGTGTATGTCTGAAAAACAATGATCTGAAGGAGGAAAAAAAATCCATATAATTGATTAAACTTCACGGAACATTTATAATAACAACCAACGAAAATAATTCATTTCAGAATCCTAAAATTTTTCATTTTATTTTTGTCTTTGAGGCAGGGTACCTGCAGCACAGACTGGTCTTGAACTTGTAGCCTAAGTTGGTCTGAAACTCCTGGTTTCCTTGCCTTCACCTGTGGCCCAAGCGTTGGGATACAGCTGTGTGTCACTGAACCTCGCCTAAATTCCTTAAATTTTCAACTTGTCCTCCAAAATCACAACCCTGGCTTTAGGGTTTAGTGCTTTCTACCACTACAATGGAGCATTTATTCCACATGATCAGTGTACTAGATGCATATTTAGGCAGTTCATACTTAACTGACTGGAGTAGGAGTCAAAAAAAAAAAAAAAGCCTTCTTCGAACTGGACATAGTGTTGCAGGCCTTTAATCCAAGCCTGGTCTACATAGGGAATTCCAGGCTAGCCTGGGGCAACAGGGAGACCCTGTCTCAAAAAACCCCCAGAGCAAAACTCCTTTCATGCTATGAGCTTTGCAACCTTCTAAGAGTGACATGGACTGGAAATCTGTGGAATACAGATACTCCTGGCTTCATGATGGAGGCATGTCCCACTAAATGGTAAACTAAAAATATAAGGGAATTACATTTAATGAATAAATATTAGGCAGTATATACAGTTGGTCGTCCATGTCAGTGAGTGCCATATCCAGGATGGATTCCATCAACTATGGATGAAAAATATTTGGGAAAAAGCATGCACCTGTACTGAGTACATACAGAATAATTTTTCTTCTGTCATCATTCCCTAACAAATGATATGGCATGCATATTTCATTTAGTTTATACAACTGCAAACAAATTCTTATTTATGATTTATATTCATTTAGTAAAGTGCTATGAAACCACAAAAAACATACCTGGGCAACAAAGTCTATTATTTTTCCCTTGATGTGAACATTCCCAAGAGGAATAGAATTTCCAGAGGCATCCTGAAGGCCAGCTTTGACGTTGCTGGAAGGCTTGGTGTCTGGTAACTGGTAATCTACAAACAAAAAAACATGAAAAAGGTTATTTATCATAGTCAGGTAGGCTTGATTCCAGAGATGCAGGACTAATTCAACACATGTAAAGCAATAAATGCAATTCATCATGTGAATGGATTCAAGGACAGAAATCACATAGTCATCTGGATAGATACAGAAAAGGCTTTTGATAAAATCCAACATACCTTCAAGATAAGTCTTTAATAAAAGGAGAATTTCTCAATATAATAAAGGGTATATACAAAAAGCTGCAGCTAACATTAAATTAAATAGAGAATAACTCAAAGCATTTCCACTAAAATCAGGAACAAGACAAGGATGTCCACGTTCTCCATCTTTATTTAACACAGAGCTGAAAGCCTCAGTTTGAGTAAGACATGAGATAGCAAATAAAAGAGCACACAAATAGGAAAAAAGGAAGTTAGAGTATCCTTCTCTGCAGATGATAGAATTATATACTTAAAAACCCTGAAACAGAAAACTTTTAGAGCTGATACACTGTCAGCCAAGTGGGAGAATCCACAATACTGTATGTAGCATTCCTAGATACCAACAATAAACAAACTGAGAAAGAAATCAGAGAAATGATCCTATTCACAATGGTCTCAAAAAATCCAAAAAACAAAAAACCTCGGAATAAGCCTAAACAGGGGAGTGAATGACCTCTATAATGAAAACTTTAAAACACCAAAGCGAAAAAACTGAAGAAAACACAAGAAAATAGAAAGACTTCCCAGACTCATGGATTGGAAACATCAACATTGCAAAAATGGCCATTTTACCAAAGCAATCTACAGATTCAATGTAATCCCCATCAAAATACTAATGCCATTCTTCACAGAAATAGAAAAAACAATCTTGAAGTTCCTTTGGAAACATAAAAGACCTCAGATAGCTAAAGCTGCCCTGGGCAAAAAGAGTCATGCTGGAGAGATCACCATACCTGATTTCATATTATACCACAGAGCAGTAGTAATAAAAATGGCATGCTGCTGCCACCAAAACAGACCTGTAGGTCAATGAAACAGAAAAGAAGACCAAGATATAAACCTACACAGGCACAGCCACCCAGTTTTTGACAAAGATGTCAAAAATACTCATTGGAAAAAAGATAGCTTCTTTAATAAATGGTGCTGGGAAAACAGAATATCTACGTGCAGAAAATGAAACTAGATCCTTATCTCTCACCCTGCACAAAAATCGACTAAAAAATGGATCAAAGGCCTTAACATAAGCCCTGCAACTCTGGGCTGGAGAGATGGCTCAGTGGTTAAGAGCACTGGCTATTCTTCCAGAGGACCCAGGTTTGGTTCCCAGCACCCACATGGTGGCTGACAACCATCCGTAACTATAGTTCCAGGGGATTCAAATGCCCTTTTCTGGCCTCCTCGGGAACTGCGTGCATGGGTGCACTTACATATCTGCAAACAAAACACTCATACACACATTAAAAAAAAAAAAAAAGACCTGAAACTCTGAAGTTTCCAGAGGAAAAAGAAGGGAATACATTCAAGATACAGGCACAGGTAAAGATTTTCTGAAGAAAATTCCAGTCACTCAGGAAGTAAGGCCAACTATCAATAAATGGGCCCTCAGGAGCTTAGAAAGCTTCTGTACAGCAGAGGAAACAGTTACTTGAGTGAAGAGACAGCTTACAGCATGGGAGAAAAATCTCTGCCAGTTATACATGTGACAGAGGATTAATATCTACATATAAAGAACTAAATAAACTGAATTAAAGTAACAACCCAGTCAAAACTTTGCTAATGAGCTGAACAGAGAGTTCTTTTTTGGGGGGGGGGGTTCTTATAGAGACTACAGGGTTTCCCTGTAGTCCCAGGAGGCCTGGAACAACTATGTAGACCAAGCTGGCCTTGAACTCACAGATATCTGCCTGCCTCTGCCTCCTAAGTGCTGGGATTAAAGGCGTGCACCATCATGCCTGGCTCAAACAGAGTTCTTAAAAGAAGAAATACAAATCCAATAGATATTTTTTAAAGTGTTCAACATCCTTAGCCATCAAGGAAATACAAGTTAGAACTATTTGAGATGCTATCTTACCCCTGTACAAAGGGCTATCATCAAGAAAACAAATGCTAAAAAAAAAAAAGAAAAGAAAAAAGAAAAGAAAAGAAAAGAAATGCTGGCAAGGTGTAGGGAAAGAGGAACCTTTATTGACTGTTAGGAGGGCAAGCTCCTGCAGACACTGTGGAAATCAATTGGAGGTTTCTGCAAAAACAAAAAATAGAACTAGCATATGACCCAGCAATATAAAAGGACTTATTCTATTACTGAGATGCCAGTTCATCCCTGTTTATTGCTGCTCCATTCACAATATTGAGGCAATCCAATCAGCCTAGTGGTACCTATACACAATGGGATTTGATTTAGCTATAAAGAAAAATGAAATTATGCAATTTTCAGGAAAAAAGATGGCACTGGAAAATATTTAATGAGGTAACCAGGGCCCAGAAAGACAAATACCTCATGTTCTCTCTCTCATATGCAGATCCTAGATTTTAATTTAAAACTTAAAAAAAAATTTATTTTATGAGCCAGGCGTGGTGGTGCATGCCTTTGATCCCAGCACTTGGGAGGCAGAGGCAGGCAGATCTCTGTGAGTTCAAGGCCAGCCTGGTCTACATAGTGAGTTCCAGAACAGCTGGGGCTACAGGGAGACCCTGTCTCAAATAGAACAAAAAAAATTTATTTATTTTTTATGTATATAAGTGTTTTGCCTGCATGTATGCAAGTGCACCTGTGTTATGCAATGCCCCCAGAGGCTAGAGGAGGGCATCAGATGCCCTGTAACTGGAGTTACAGATGGTTGTTACCTACCATGTGGGTGCTAAGAACTCAACCTAAGTCCTCTGCAAGAGCAGCCAGTATTCTTAACTGCTGAACCATCTCTCCACTCCTTAGTTTTTAATTTTTAAATATTATTATTAATATTATTTATGATGTGCATATGTGGACATGTATGTGGGTGTCAGGTGACAACTTTGTAAAGTCAGTTTTCTCCTTCCATCTTTACATGGGTTCTGGGATCGAACTCGTCTTCTGGCTTACATAACAGGCATTTTACTGGCTGAACCATTTTTTTGGCCCACTAGCTTCTAATTTTTATATGTATATTTATGTGGAAGTGAGTAAGTATAGATGCCAGGAAACTAGAAAGAGGCCTATGAGAGGGCGAGAATACCGGCTCTAAGGGAGAGTGGTGGGAGGGTAGTAGAGCTCACGAGCTATGGAAGTGAAAGAAGGAACACAAGGGTAGAAGGGTTTGGAGGGGACAGAAAGGGGACTTGGAAGAGATGGGGAAAGGTTACCAAAACCAAGTGGGCATGTAAATGTCATAAGGAAATTCACTATTTTGCATGTTAAAAAATTTTTAAATCTCCACCAGACAATGAAATGAAATCATGGTATGAGCTGTTTTGTTTAGAGATGAATAAAATATTTTTTTAAAAAGAGAGCATTATTGCTGGGTGTGGTGGCACATGCCTTTAATCCCAGCACTAGGGAGGCAGAGGCAGGCAGATCTCTGTGAGTTCAAGGCCAGCCTGGTCTACATAGTGAGTTCCAGGACAGCTGGGGCTACAGGGAGACCCTGTCTCAGAAAGACCAAAAACGAGAGAGAGAGAGAGAGAGAGAGAGAGAGAGAGAGAGAGAGAGAACGCATTACTGAGGAAATGTGTTTTAAATTACTGAATATTTTGGCATTATACCTAACAAAAATTTAATAATTCATTTTGGGGCCAGTGAGGTGGCTCATCAGGAAAAGGCACTTGCCACACAAGTATGACAACCCAAGTTCAATACTCAGAACCCATGCAAAGGTGGAAAAAGAGAATGGACCTCACAAAGCTGTCCTCTGACCTCTACATGTTAGCCTTGAACCTTGAGTTTCTTATCCTCCTGCCTATCTGCTTGCTGATATTATAGGCATTTACCACTTCCTACTTCTGCCTTGGAGCATTATCTTAAAAATCTAGAATGGTGGTACACACCTTTAGTCCCAGGACTTGGGAGGCAGAGATGGGCGAATCTCTTTGAGTTCAATGCCAGCCTGGTCTACATAGGAAGTTTCAGGCCAGACAGGGCTACACAGTGACACTCTGTCTCAAACCCTCCCTATTGCTCCCCCCCACCCCCACAATCTAGAATTATATTTATTACTTGAAAGACTTAAGCAAACACAGATACAGAGGTCTTGAGACTATCTCAGTAATTACAGTTGGAACACAAACAGCATCTCCATTTCCTGATTATCAAGTTGAATTGGTCAATCATAGTCATTCATTGTGCTACAGAAGCATTTAGAAGCAATCGGAAACTATACTTTTCAATCCAAGAATGACAAACTCAAACTGCTATAGGAGACTTGAAAATGTGGGCCAGGTGTAGAGGTGCACACCTTTAATCCCAGCATTTGTGTGTGGAGGGGTGCATGTGTACAAGGTCAGAGGGCAACATGTGGGCATCTGCCACTCGATCCCTCCACCATGTGGGTCCCAGGATTGAACTCAGGTCTTCAGACTTTTCAGCAAGTGCTCTCACCTGGTGAGCCATTTCGGCAACCCAACATCTTGATTTTTATGTGTTCAAAATAAAAAATAATAAAATATTTATATGTGAGGTAATAGACGCTGCTACCAAACATGAATAAATACTATTGAAAACATATTTCAGTTTTATAAATAGTATCACATAAAGCAGCACATAAGAAAATCATCTTACCTTCAACCTTTGAAACATTTGGAAGCTCAGGTCTGTGCTCCTCTAACTCAGGATTTTCATGGAGATGAAAATCCTTTATTCTGTCTCCAGGCAAGCAAAATTTAACAATGTATTTCATTTTAACCTGATTTGTTTTATAGACAACAAATTCATCATCCTAGAGCAGAGAGAAAGTAATAAATGGTCAATAACAACACATAACAACAGACAGATGTTCTCATGGAAGTAGAATTTCTTATTTGTTAATTTAGAAAATATTGAATTAAAGCTGGGTGTGGAGACACATGCCTTTAATCCCAGCACTTGGGAGGCAGAGGCAGACGAAGCTCTGTGAGATGAGGTCAGCCCAGTTTCAGGCCACCTGAGGCTACAGGGAGACTCTGTCTCAAAAATACATACACACACACACACAAACACACACACACACACACACACACACACACACACACACACACACACACCAGGCAGTAGATATATGGCAATTACTTAAATGAAAACACATTTAATAAAAATAGAAGCAAAACCCTAAGACAGGTCTTTGCACATAAAGGCCCCTTTTTTACCTGTCTTGGCTTTTATTGTTGCTGTTATTTGATTGATGGATTTTTTTTTTTTTTTTTTTTTTTTTTTTTTTTGCAGAGCAAGAGATAGAACTCAGGGCCTGACCCATACTAGGCAAATGTTTGACAGCTAACCCACATCCCAACCCTGCTTATTTCTTGAAATAAAATACCTCAAAGTCTGTGGGGACAGAGGCTGTTTCTGAAACTCCATGCACACTGTCATAGCCAGGTGGTGCCTCAGTTAAAGAAAAGTCCTTCTTGAATAAGTCCATACACTTTCCCAGGGCAACATCACAGATGACCAGGAGTCTGGAGCCATCTGTCTCTCCGGGGTGTGAGTACTTTATGCTCGTACTGCATGCAAAAGAAAACAAGTGTACATTATAAATCACAGCTATATGCCAGCCCCACTTTAGTATACAAATAAGAAGTACACGCTGAGCATCCCTGATCTAAAACTGTGAATCAAATCTGAAATGCTCCAAAATTCAAAACTTTGAGCACTGATGTGACATCACAAACGGAAAATTCTATCCCTAACTTCATGATGGGTTGCAGTCACAGGTAGGCACACTAAAAATATGATGTAAAATCACCACCAGTCTATGTTTATCATCAGTTGTAGAAGGAAGAAATAAATTTCATATTTGGATTTAGGTGTCACTCCCAGGATATCTCATTATGTGTACACAAATATTTCCAAATGTGAAAACAAAATCCAGCCCGTTAGATAAAGGATACTCAGCTTGTGCTGCTGAAAGATTTTGTTGGGAGATCATTCCAAAGTTTACTGCTATTGGCTGGGCACAGTGGTGCATGCCTTTAAGCCTGAGCCTGGGCTACACAGTGAGACCCTGCGGAAGAAGAAGGATGTGGAGAGAGGAGAGGGAGAAGAAGAAAAGAAAGATGAGGAAGAGAAGAACGAACAGGAGAAAGAGGAGGAGGAGGGAGAAGAAGAGGAAGAAGAAGAGGAGGAAGTAGAGAAGGAGAAGGGGGAAGAAGGAGCTGTCATTGCACTTAATTGTTTACAGAATTCAATGACATCAAGCATGGTGACTGACATCTATAATTCCAGTATATGGGAGGCTGAGACAGGAGGATTGCTACAAGTTCCATAGTGAGTTTCAAGCCAGTCTGAGCTAGATAGTGATACCATTCCAGAAAAACAAAACCAAAATGTAATATGTACAGTGCCCTTCTCAGCGGTAGGTATGTTAGCTACTAAAATATACATATTCTGTTACTGGAAAAGTTAGAGTGATGAATAATAAGAAAAACCCATTTTATTAATTAGGAAAAAAATATATTGAATTCACTGCACTAAAGTTCACAAAGGTCATAAAATATCAACTAAGTAAGCACTGGTCAAGGGAAAAGGCAGGCATTATATTCTGACAACATCTTCTGAGTCTACACGAAGACAGAAAGTTTCCTTATGACACCCAAGGCAGACTTGAAAGATAAATCAGCAGGGCGTGTTTTGTTTTTGAGACAGAGTCTAGCCCATACTGGCCTTGAACTTGTTACCTATCTAAAGCTGACCTCAATCTCCTAATCCTCTTGCCTTCATTTCCCCAGTGCTGGAATGACAAACATACTACTATGCCTGGCCCTTTTTAGTTTATTTTCTGAGACAGGTTTTCATGTAGCTACCACAGCCAGTTTATATGGATCTGGGGATGAAAACCCAGGCCTTGTGTGTTTTAGGCAAGCATTCTGCCAACTGGGTTAAATCTCCACCCTGTTGTCATCTTAAAATTACATTTATGTATGTATATGCGCACGCACACGCGTGCATGCATGCGTGTGTGTGTGTGTGTGTGTTGTGCCTACACATGCCACAGTGTACATGTGGAGGTCAGAGAACAATCTGTGGGAGTTGGTTCTCTGGTTCTACCATGCAGGTTCCAGGGGTTGAACACAGGTCATTAGGCTTGGCAGCAAGTATCTTTACTCACTGCGCCATCTTGCCAGCCCTTATTTTTTTGTCTGACTATGTAGCCAAGGCTGGCTCCAGAATTCACAGCAATCCTCCTGTCTCAGAGTCCCAAGTGCTGATATTATAGATATGAACCACCATGCCCAGCTTTTCTTTTTTCTCTTCTTTCCTTCCTTATTTTGGCAGGGTTTCACTATGTGACACAGGCTGGTCTGGAAATCTATGTGGCTTACGCTGGCCTCAAATTCACAGTAATCTGCATACCTCAGCATCCAAGTGCTGGGGTTGTAGATGAGAGTCACTATGCCTGGCTTAACTTTCACTTAAAAAAAATAATCCATTTCCCCCATCCCGTCTAAAAATCTCTCCCCTTCTCTGGGGCCTCCTCTATACCTTGCTTCCCACCAAGCTTGCCTTGAGCTCTGTCAGTCCTAGCTCCTTTCTCAAGCTCTTTACAGAAGACTGCAAGGACAATCTCCCCTCTCAGGCCTACTGCCTTCTTCTCCAGCCACTGTAATGTACTCTATTCAGAACTCTTCCATTAAACAAGAAAAAGGACACAAACTTTGTTGCATGCTAAGGCAGACTATCTATTCAGATTTCCTCGCTGAAGTCATTCTGTGAGTCTGAAGAACTCAAAGCAATGCCTAAAACATCTAAAAACATTTACTTTGTAACATCAGTACATAGGAATTCACACTACAAATTTTAAAGAAAAACAGACAATCTTCACATGATAACTGCTTAGATCAAGACTCAGAGATGTTAGTGAAGGGCAGAAGTGAAGACTGCTGGCCAGAAGAAAGGCGCAGGCTGCAAACACCTCCTCCCTCCTTCCAGAGGCCTATTGCAGCCATGTGTGCTGAGGCAAGATTCTCTTGGGGTCCTCAGGTTACCCTCTGTGATAGGAGAAGACTTACCAGTGGGGATAAGAGAGTGTGTTATAAAGATTCAGCTACAAAATAGACATAAATGCTAAGGTGATTTCAAACACAGTTTCCCCAACATTCAACACAGAAGACATGCTTTTACAGTATTCCGAGAAAACTGCTTTCAGTAATGTGTTTTGTGGGTGAGAGACTCCCACCGAGGAAAGAGAAGAAAACATTCAGAAAGTCCTCAGTTGCGATTCCTGGGGATGGGTGTGTGAAACATGATTTAGGGCAGAACACACTAACCTGAGAGAGTCACTGAAGTAAATCCCGCTCCCCAGATTTCCAACATCTGTTCTTTGTACACCTCGATCTTCAACAACTTTAGGTAAAAGCAACCCTCTGAAAAGAAAAGGATAGTATCATGATTTACCAGAAGAAAGCCGTCTTCTACACAGCCTCCAACGTGGTGCTACTTAAATAGCAAAGCATACCTGTCTTTGCAAACTCAGGTCAGTGTTCAGCTAATCTTCCACATCTGCAGTCAACCAGCCATAGATTGAACATATTTAGAAAAATGGGAACGGAGAGATGGCTCAGAGGTTAAGAGTACTGGCTGCTCTCGCAGAAGACCTGGGTTCAGTTCCCAGTACCCACATGACAGCTAACAACTGTCCATAACTCCAGTTCCCAGGGGATCTGATGCCTTCTTCTGACCTTTGTGGGCATTGCAAGACATGGGTGCTCTTACACAGATGCAAGTAATACACTCATACACATAAAAAATAAAAATAAGCTGGGCATGGTGGCGCATGCCTTTAATCCTAGCACTCAGGAGGCAGAGGCAGGTGGATCTTTGTGAGTTCAAGGCCAGCCTGGTCTACATAGCAAGTGCCAGGCCAGCTGGAGCTACAGGGAAACCCTGTCTCAAATAAATAAATAAATAAATAAATAAATAAATAAATAAATAAATAAATAAATAAATAAATAAGGAGCTAGAGAGATGACTCAGAGGTTGAGAGTACTGGCTGTTCTTGCAGAAGTCCTGGGTTTGAATCCCAGTACCTACATGGCAGCTAACAATTGTCTGTAACTACAGTTCCAGGGGATCCGATGTCCTCTTCTAATCTCCACAGGCATTGCACTACATGGATGCACTTACACACATGCAGGCATAACACTCATTTAACACTCATTTACACAAGATAAAAATAAATAAATAATAAAAATAAAGTTTAAAAATAAATAGAGCCGGGCGTGGTGGCGCATGTCTTTAATCCCAGCACTCGGGAGGCAGAGGCAAGCGGATCTCTGTGAGTTCAAGGCCAGCTTGGTCTACACAGTGAGTTCCAGGAAAGCTGGGGCTATAGGGAGACCCTGTCTCAAAAAGACCTAAATAAATAAATAAATAATAAAAGAAAATACTCAGAAAAAGAATTTCATCTGTACTGAACATGCAGACTTTTTTTAATCATTAGTCCCTAAACAGCACAGTCTAACAACTGTTGCCATAGTGTTTATACTTTGTTAGATATTATTAAGTCATGTCAATGCTATTTAAAGTATAAGTGGGGACATCCTCCTTTCTGTAGAAACTCAATGCCATTTTATATAAGATCCTTGAGCATTGAAGGTTTTGGCATCTTGGGGGGGGGGGCTTGGGAAGCAACTCTCTAGATACCAAGGGACAACTATAATCTCCCAAGAGGAACAACATATGCCATTAACATGTCATCAGCTATGGATGGCTTCCTACCTCTGTCTTGACCAGAGTTGAGTCTTTGGCCATATCTCCCGCCTCCTCCAGGCAAGGCCCCAGGGTAAGTCAATGATTAAGAGCCATTGCTGACTTACAGAGGACCAGAGTTCTGTTCCCAGGACCCACATAGGGTGGGGCTCACAGCTACCTGTAACTCCATCTCAATGGGATTCAATTCCCTCTTTTGGTCTCCACAGGCACTGCACACACATGGCAATCACACAGACACATACATAAATCTTTTTTAAAATCAAACACATAACTTAAATAATGTAATTTTAATCATTGTCTATTATATATAGTATATTATATATACTACATATATAATATATACTATATATATTATATATAGTTTTCCCTGGAATGCAATAGGTTGGCTGCTTTTAACTAAAGGGCCCATGTGGCCTCTTTTCTTTTTCTTTTTTTTTTTTTGAGATAGGGTCTCCTTGTAACCCCAGTTGGCCTGGAATTCACTATGTAGACCAGGCTGGCCTTGAACTCATGCCTGCCTCTGCCTCCTGAGTACTGGGACTAAAGGCATGTGCCACGACACCCAGCCCATGTGGTTTCTTTATTTATTCAGTATTTTTTGAGATTAAAAAAAAAACATACTTTTAGGGCTGGAGAAATGGCTCAGCAGTTAAGAGCAATTGCTACTCTTGCAGAGGACCTTGGTTTGGTTCCCAGCATCCACATAGTAGCTCACAACCATCTGTAACTCCATTTCCAGGTGATCTGATGCCCTCTTCAGCGTCCACAGGCACCAGGCACCAGGTACATTTATATACATGAAGGTGTTTCAGAAAAATTCTTCAAACAGCAAAAAGACCAAGCACACACTCAGGAGAGAGTTGGAAAGCTTGTTTATTTCTTATGTATGCAGGGGGACCCCAATAAACAACAGATGGTTATTAGATTCTGGGGCCTGATTTGTAGTATAGATGAGGATTTTATAGTCAATTTTAGGATTAGCCCTATGTTCTTTTCATGATGGGCCATGTTATCTCAGGAAATTCCTTCCTGGATTCAGCCAACATTGTTTTTAAAGTAGATATCCCGGGTATAGGTCAGGGCATCTGCCACCTTTGGATCTACAACTCAAGACAGATTAATTGGACTGGAACCAATTGGTCATTTTAGTTTACAATATCAGACACAAACTGCAGAAGTTTAGATTTCTGACGTGTTTGAGCTACACTTTTCTTAGATTAATTGGACCAGGTGCCTCATTAAGCCTCTGCCTCCCGAGTGTTGGGATTAAAGGCATGTGCCACCACACCCGGCAACAAAGGAAACTTTAAATAGCCTGAGCTTACCAGGACATTATATAAGAATACAGTTAGGTATAAGATTATAGGTTTTTTCCCTATCACAGGCAAAATACGCATACTCATAAAATTAAAAAAAAATAAGTAGTTAAGAAAAAACACACACAGTTTAGAAAAGGTAAAAAAGAAACTTGAATGTTTCATATTTGCGAACCTGAAAACTCTAAAAAATAAAGGCAGTGTGTCTTACCGGGACAAGATTCCAACAATGTTTCGCACAGGAGAGCCATGCAACAAGGGCCGCACGTTGCCCAGTTTACTCAAAAATTCAGTGGTTTCATTTACTCTTCCAACCCTAAATATCCGCAAGATGTCTACTGGACCATCACTGGAAGAACTGGAAGAAAAACCTAAGGTTACACAATTGGAAACAAAGACCCAAGAAAATTCAAACATCCATTATCAGGAAACTGGTTTAGTGAATCATGTCTTAATAGAGCTTGAAATCTTATTACAAACCATAGCCACAGGGCTGGTGAGATAGCTCAGTGGATAAACCAGGACCTACAAGGCAGAAGGCCAGAACTGACTTCTGCAAACTGTCCTCTGATCTCCACACATATACCATGGCACACAATACATAAATGTTAAGATTTAAAAAAAAAACATAACATGCGGGCTGGAGAGATAGCTCAGCGGTTAAGAGCACTGACTGCTCTTGCAGAGGACCCAGGTTTGATTCCCAGCATCCACATGGCAGCTAACAACCACCCATAGCTCCAGTTCTGCGGGAATCTGACACCTTCTTCTGACCTCAGGCTTTGTGTGACACAGGTGCACTTACACACATGCAAGCAATACATTCATACACATAAAAAAATTAAAAAATAATAAATAAAATATTTTTAAAACTAACATGCAGGGTGTGGTGGATCATGCCTTTAATCCCAGCACTTAGGAGGCAGAGGCAGGATCTCTGTGAGTTCAAGGCCAACTTGGCCTGTGTATCATGTTCCAGGCTATTCAGGGCTACATAGTGAGACCCTGGTTCAAAAAAAAAAAAAAAAAATCCCTACAGTAAAATATAAAACTAAATAATCAAAAAAGAAAAAACAAAACTAAATAATCATAAAATTTAAACTATGTATGATGGTTCAGGCCTATAATCCCAGCACATGGGAGGCTGAGGCAGGAGGATCACAAGTTTAAGCCAGCCTCGGAAGACATAATGAGACCCTGTATTAGTAACTTTTCTGTTGCTGTGCTAGAAACACTGACCAAAGCAACTTATAAAAAGAAGAGTTTTTTTTATTTGAGCTTATGGTTCCAGGGGAATTACAGTCCGTCTTGGCAGGGAGGCATGGTGGCTGGAGGAGGACTGGAAGCTAAGCTCTCACATCTTCAAGCAGGCACAGGAAGCAAGAGAGCAACAGGAGATCCAGCAAGCCTTAAGAACACTCTAAGCCCAACCCCAGTGATGTGCTTCCTCCAGGATAGCCACACCTTCTAAGACCTCCCAAAACAGTGCCACCATCTGGGGACAAAATGTCCAAATCCTTGGAGCCTATGGGGGACATTTTCATTCAAACCACCACAGGCCCACTCTCGAAAAAAAAAAAAAAAAAGGAAGTCCATGCCCCATAGTCACACTGATGGAATCAAACTAAAGCCCCCCCAGGTTAAAGTAGATTTAACCAAATCCCCCAGACTAAAGAAGAATATTCAGAACAAGGAAGTAAGAAGTAAAATAATTCTAACTACTGAGAAAGAACTGACCTTTTCATGCTCCGGACATCACCAGAGACTCCCACTCCCACTACTGCCGGTTGCCGCCAGCCCCCTATTGCTGGTTGCTGCCGGCCCCCTCCCACTACTGCCAGTTGCCGCCAGCCCCCTATTGCTGGTTGCTGCCGGCCCCCTCCCACTACTGCCAGTTGCCGCCAGCCCCCTATTGCTGGTTGCTGCCGGCCCCCTCCCACTACTGCCAGTTGCCGCCAGCCCCCTATTGCTGGTTGCTGCCGGCCCCCTCCCACTACTGCCAGTTGCCGCCAGCCCCCTATTGCTGGTTGCTGCCGGCCCCCTCCCACTACTGCCAGTTGCCGCCAGCCCCCTATTGCTGGTTGCTGCCGGCCCCCTCCCACTGCTGCCGGTTGTGGTTTGTGGTTTCTGCCTTTAAAATCGCCTGTAAACTGAGCTTGGGGCTGCTGTTCTCTCTCTCTCTCTGAGTGAGGCAGGAGCCTGTCTGCGCAAACGATTAAATCTTCTTGCTTGTTGTATCTCCTGGTCTGAGGACTGAGTTATTGGGGTGCGGCCTCCCGTGGACATTGGGTACCCCAGCCTGGGGGTCCTACACACCTTTCCTGCAAGTAACATGAATCCCCATATGCCCCTTAGCACGAGCCCCCCCAGATACCTGTGAGCTGGCCGGCCAGAACCCATGATTGGGTTCCCCAGTTACAAGACAAGGGGGGAATGTAGCACCCTGAGACCCTCTTCATTTACCCGCTACCCCCCAATCCCTCCAGACCC